AGGGCGGACCCACGCGCCCTTTTTGCTTGTGCCGGCGCTCCAGGCGCCCCTCAGGAAGCCGGGTTCGGCCTGGATCCGCCGGCACCAGTTTCGCCCCGAGCCGCCGAAAAACGGGCTTCTAGGGGCATGACTGGACTGTTTTTTTGACGCCGGCGTGGCAAAATCGTCTGGGAAGGGCCTGTTAAGGGCGCGGCTGAAGATGCTCTAAGCGGGTGACGATCGAAACAGTAGCCCAAAGGGCTCGAGCACTCTGCCGTGCAGCAGATGACCCAAATGTCACAACTCAGAAGTCGTGCCCATTCAAGATAAGCAAATCAAGCTTTCTCGAAATCAACCATTCTATTCAACTTCCTCCATATATTGGTTGTAATAACATTTTATATTATAGAGCAACGTAGTATATAGTAAAATAAAGGGGATTTTGATTTCTTGCCACCACTTACTTTGGACTTTGACAATTTGCCACTGTCTACTTTGTAATTGATATTTTGCCACTTCTTAGTTGGAACTTTGAGGATTTGCCCTTGCCCATGTGAAATCCCGAACCTGCCCATGTTCTCGATTGACCGAGTCGATAGATGAGCTCTTCATGTCTGTTCGTTCCTGTCTCGCGGGCGCAGAACTGCTATATTGATTGCTCCTGCTCCAAGCGCTGGGATTATGCATTGCATCAGCTGCCGTTCGTTCAGCTTGTGTTCTACGTGGCCGGCTAGTGCGGAGGCACGAGGCGTGAGCAACACTAATAGCACTACGTGCGGCAGCGGCGACCAGCAGCAGCTGCTATACCACTAGTACACGGGCAAGCAAGAGCAACATGGGGCAGGCGGGGTGTCAGTGGCGAACGGGTCATTGGCAGCCTGAAGCACTCGCGCGCCGGGCGCCGTTCCAGCTCCCTAGCCGCTGCGGTGCGCTCGGCTATGCGTGGTTCAGGGACGCCGCCGATGGGACCATGTGGGCTGGACTCGACTGATAAGCAGCTCCCACCTGCACTCCTCCACCGGTTATCTGCAGGGCCACCAGGTAGCAGCAGGGGTGACGGCGGCGGGGCCGCCCGGGAGCAGCAGATACGGCGGCGGCTGAGTTATGAGTTAGGGTTCATCTCGATTTGGTGAGGAGGATGTGTTATGTGTTTCAGTCAAACAGGTAAAAGGGTAGTTTTGTCCTCTGCTTTGTGCACTCCATTTGTCTTTCATTTACAAAGATTATTTTTGTGTTGAAAAGTGGCAAAAAATCAAAATGCAAACTAAGAAGTGTCATCAGATCAATTTCAATGTAATGAGTGGCAAAATGTCAAAATCCAAAGTAAATGATGGCAAATAATCAAATCGCCCTAAAATAAAAGAGCAAGGATGATAAATCAAATCTAACTTTGCCCATCCATGCGAAGTGCTACAAACGCACTTCAACTGTTTCGTACGGACATGCAACACTACTAGGATATATTTAGATCAGTATCATTAGTCATAAGTCATACATTGAAGCATAACATACACTTCACCTAATTCAACTGGACAGACAGTTCAACAGGTTCAACTAAACAGAGATTTCGCTACTACTTCAACAGGTTCAACATATCACACACAGGAGTACTTCACAAGCAGCAGCTATGCAAGTACCACTGGAGCACTGCATAACAAACGGACACACGACAGACACACACGATGACTCTAGTACCAGCAAAGCAAGCACAAACATCATGGCCTCTACTTCACAAGCAGCAGCTACCCAAGTAGCAAACAGACACGCGACACACAGCTGTGACTACTTCCAGCAAAGCAAGCACAAACCCCATGGCCCCTTCATCCATAAGACAAAAGGAGAGACCACGCCACCGTTACCTCCATCTCACAAGAGCCAACCTTGAGCATTTGGTGGCTCCTACCAGATCTCTTGGGTGTGAAATAGATGTCGTCGCTAACTACATCCTCTTCATCATTGGCAGGGTTTGCTTCCACCAAGACTTCGAGCTTTCCTTTGCTTTCAACGCTAACGACGCGACGAAAAAGCTTGACATGCCCATCATCCTTAACAGGTAGGACCTCATCAACCTCAAATCCAAGAAGCACAACTTCCATGTCATTGATGCTAGCAGTAGACGCAGTAAATAGGCCTCCATGGCCATATGGCCATTCCCCATGTTTGACTTTGACACTAATTGTAGCCTCCACGGAATGAATAATGTGGGCCACAGTTAGCTGCAACGTGCTAAGCCTGCCAGCCAAATCTCGTTGCATGACGAAGGAGTTAAAAGGGACAATCTCGATGTAGGCATCAGATACGTAGCTGAATTCTTCATCACCAGAATCTAGCTTGAGTTTTAACTCAACCTCGATATATGAATGATGTACCGACAACACAACAGCACAGGAAGGACCGGTGAGAGGTAAATACGGACTCTGCATATAATGGGGCAATAATCATTATGAGAATCCAAAATAATTATGCTGAATGCTAGCCACACAACATCAAGATTAGTTCAGATATAAAAGGGGAAATCAGTAGCATCCAATCTGATGTCGATCAACCATCTTACTGAACCCACATCTTCCTGTTATCTGAAGGCATATTGGGCCAGACATACTTCGAGTACTAATTGCCACATTCTGAAAAATGCATAACGCAGCACCAAAGTTCAGTAGAAAATATGGACTAAACTGGGGCAGACATTTAAGTGTTCAACACAGCTATTGAAACCACAGGTAAGCAAACACTATATAAGAGCTGACATTTCAAAACCTTCAAAAAGAAGCATGCATTCTACTGCAATAACTGAGGTGGAAACTTTAAAAATTGACTATCGTGCTTCTATTTGCTGTCCACGAAGCATGAGGTTTACAAGAGCTTGCACGTTACTGACCTTACATTATGAAATTTAATCAAAATACAGGTAGGAGATAGCACATGTTGGCAAATTGTATCATTATGGGAAGTGTTTACAAAGAGCATGTGATATAACCACAGGATTGTTGCTTAGATGCCATAAGATTTTTAATTGAGATTTTCAACCAACCACAAGATACATGCCATGAGTTCTCCAGTTCAAATTATATAATAATCCATATCTCTTTGTTAGTTGTAGGGCATGCTTTTCAAGAATACTCTATGGTTGAAAACGTTAACTGCAGACAGGAGAAAGTGGTATTTTTGGAGAATATATACGTACATCCTCGTAGAGGATTTCACAGTTATCCCTCTCACAATCAAAGATGATATTGCGATTGCGATCAACTGTGTCGCGTGCCGCAATCTTGCCATAGAGACTAAGTGGCCAAGATATCCCCTTCTTTACTCCAACGACTTTGACTGAAAAAATCTGAAGAGTCTCAAGTGGGCCAGCGAGGTCACATACATCATCAGTGAATCGCATGGGAGGGGTAGAAGCTGCATCGTTGATAAACAAAGTAGTTAGCAATAAAAGATTAAAATTAACACATTATGCCATATTAACAAAAAAACTTGGAAAAGAAATTATAGGGAGTGGTACGATATCGACTCTGATGGGCCTACATAAAAACGTTGGTCGGTGTAGGCTTGATACTGATACATGGGCTATGCATAATTGGGTTCAGATTTTTTTTAAATACTGTAACCTATAAGATAGTATGAACTCAATTACTTACCCGTATCAAATACTCAGATCCGAGCACGCACGCACGCACGCACACACACACACACACGCGCACACACACACACACACACACACACACACACACACACACACACACACACACATACTTACTTACTTACTAATAGGCAGAACGATTATTTTATGTGTTGCATCCTGGTAACTAAATAGGCAGAACGATTAAAGGGCAGAGGAGTGATTCGTGACAGCCGGTGATAAGATTACCATTTTCAATATGTACACGTCTTTCAGTGTTTTTTTTTTGCATGGCAGCCTCGTAACAAGAGTACCATATTAATGGTGGAGTGGTGTGTGCCAGGCGTAACAAGAATACCAGATTACGAGCACGCGAGGGAGAGTCCAAGAGTGGTTTGTGGCAGCCGGTGACCGTTTTAATTTTCTTATATGATGTTTGCTAGGATTTTTCCCAAGATCAGCCTAGCGCACGATTAATGGTAATATTTTCTCTAATCATAGTAATATTAAAGTGATGCATTACTAGCATGGCCGCCACATGCATGTGAACGATAAATGAAGCATGTGTAGTAAAACTAGTACCAAGTAGTAGTAATCCAATAGCAATTGGTTTGTTACAATTTCCACTTTAACATGTAAGACCATATATTAATACAATTACCACATAGTAGCTAATAGTAATCGGTTAATTCCAAAGTCGTAACACAATTACCATCCAAAAATTACCATCCAACTGATGGTTATCTCCCATCTGCCCAATTTAAATTACAAGGCCCGAGTAGACAGGACTGTGGACCAGAGGGTGGAGCAGGTAAACATTGTAATAAGGTTACTATGGTTGCTATATTACTAGGGGCAAAAGAAAAATACTAATCAAGTGGAGCAGAGAACCAGAGGGTCCAGCCCGCGACCAATTTAATTCATTTACTATCCTCTGCCATGCCTTTTACTAAAGGGTGGAAACAAAATCTGTTGTTTGGACGAAGCGGCTCAACCAGCATGGCCAGAGCGCAGATTAAGGATTTTGTGCGCACGCATAGTATAGCGCCACCGTCGACGAAGTAATGTAGAATTCAAAATATACCCAATAGAAGTTTGAAGCAATAATATTATAACTACCATGACAAGTCAAAACTGTACAATTTACATAATGTAATAAAAAATACATATAGAAATTTTTTATTTCAATTGGTACTACAGGGTCTGATTGGTACAAGTTAAAATATGTATAGAGATTTATTATTTCAATTATTATACAGAGGCCTGTTTATACTAGTAGTAGTCAGACTAGAAGTTTTTAGTCAGGCCCTGTTTGGAAGGTGACTACTACTAGTCAGCATTAAATGTCTCAGTATTAAATGTTCCTTGTGCAACACCAATTAAAGGAGAGAGAGGGGGACTTTAGTCAGTAAAAGTCAGGGGTGTTTGGAGGTTTACTGACTAAAGGTGACTACTACTAGTCTCTAGTCAGTAAAAGTTGGGGGTGAAGTGACTAGGGACTAAACTAGTTTTAGTCACCCACTAGTCAGGGGTGTCTGAAGGTTTACGGACTAAAGGTGACTACTAGTAGTCTCTAGTCTCTAGTCTCTTGTCTCTAGTGATCCAAACACCCTCAAATTTGGTGTGGCTCTGATGGAACAGGACCATTTATTGGACAGGCATAAAGGGGGCAAAATAGCTGGGAAACCTAAAAAATACATGGAGATAACCAAAACTCAAAGAACAAAATGCATATGGGGGAGTTCAATACAAATAAAAGTTTAACTTGGATAAAATTAGATCAAAGTTTAGCCATGCAAGGATAAGACTGCTTACTTGTGGTCTCGTAGCAACCATATCGTGGGCCAGCAAACATTGAATTCCAGAAATTTCGATGAAGATCGTAGGCATTTGGTTCAGAGAGGGCCTCCTCCGGAAGCTTGTTCTTACCCTTTCGCCTCCTCGGCTTTTTCTTCAGAGAGCTCTTCTTCAACTCGTCCTGTACTTTTTTCTTCAGAGAGCTCTTCTTCAACTCGTCCTGTACTCTTTCCCTGACAGCCTGAATCATCTTGAGAGCTTGTTCCTCTACTGTTTCGCTGGCAGTAGTCTGAATCTCCTTGAGAGCCTGTTCCTCCATTTCCACAGTAGCCTCTGCCTCTTTGAGAACGTGATCCATTGACAGTCGCATACCTCTGGACCTTGCAATTATTCTGAGAGCCTCTATCTCAATGAGAACCTGTTTCCTTGTCATCTTCTCACCCATACGACTACTGAGGAAAAAATACCTCCTCAGAGGATTACTCGGCCACCGCTGAAGTACCTCCTCCCCAACATCTATCAATAGTGTCGCAGCTAGCATCTCAGATATCAGGTTTCTCAACATCTCCAGAGGCATGTCCTTCCTTTGCAGATCAATCCGCAGCTTCTCAGAAAACAGATTGCTCAATACCTCCTCCGCATCCGCCGCTGATAGATGAGGTCCCTCGTCCGGATCCGCCCCTCGTAGCTCAGGTCCCTCCTCCGGATCCGCCCGCAGCTTCTCAGAAAACAGATTGCTCAATGTCTCCTCCGTATCCGCCGCTGATAGATGAGGTCCCTCGTCCGGATCCGCCCCTTGTAGCTCAGGTCCCTCCTCCGGATCCGCCCGCAGCTTCTCAGAAGGGTCCCGATAACTGCCACACGTGTGGTGTATCGGGTAGTTGTGTCACACGCCTCGTGTGGCATGGACAGCAACCAGCCCACACACATATGTATGGGCAAAACAACTAATGCCTACACACCTCTCTTTTTTCCTCCTGAACCCTCTCACACGCGTGCGTGTGGGCGAAGTTGATAACGCCCACACGCCCGTATGTCAGGCCCCGTACCCTCCTGGTCCCGCACGCCACGCGTGACGCCCACCGCGCGCCCGCAGTTGCCATGGTCCAAACCCTCGTCCATGTTCGTTTAACTGCAATTGCCATATCGCTGAACTACGGTTGCCATGTCGGACAACTGCAGTTGCCATGGTTGCTCAACTGCAGTTGCCATGTATGGTCTGATCTAATGTAGTTGCCATGATTTCATAACTTTAGGAGTTGCCACATACTAACACTAGGCAGTTGAAAGAGTTGCCATGTGCTCACAAGCATGGTAGGGCAGTTGCCATGTAAAAAGGAAGAGTTGCCATCTGCTTACGTGCACATTAGAGCAGTCGCCATGTACGTGCACGTTGGGGCAGTTGCCATGTACCATACAAAAACACATGGCAACTCGGTAAAAGAGAGTTGCCATCTGCTTACGTGCACACTAGGCAGTGGCCGTGTACCCTGCAAAAACACATGGCACTCGGGTAAAAAAAGAGAGTTGCCACCTGCTTATAAAGCACACTAGGGGCAGTTGCCATGTGCGCTGCGAAAACACATGGCAACTAGCAGCTTGGGTGTGGGAGAGGAGACGGGTGTGTGGGCGAGATGGCAAATGCCCACACACTAGCCCTTGTGTGTGCGTGCAAAGTGGCGTGTGGCGCGAACTGCTGAACGCCCACACACCGGCCCCTCCGTGTGGTAAAACGGATGTGTGGGCGACCTCTCTCACACACCACACACGCGAGTTGTCCTACGTGGCATACAAAATCAGCTAATTCGTGCCAAGATTCGTGCAGAAGTTACTGGACGGTGATGAAGACGTGTGGGTGAGTTGGCTAATGCCCACACATGTGGGCGTTAACATTTCCGTCTCAGAAAACAGATTGCTCAATACCTCCTCCGCACCCCCAAAGAAGTAGATCAGGTCTCTCCCCCGCACCCTCCCTTGTACCTCAGATCTCTCCCCCGCATCACT